TTTAGTTTGGTGAGCTGGTACGAATTTCCGTTAAAAAGGCAGAGTTGCTTTTCGGCAGCAACAAATGAATGATATCCACTGACATTTTTAACTTCAAACCGTTGCTTCTGGCTAAAATATGAGTCCATAAAACGTTCTCCAGTGAAAAACTTGTCTTGTCTGAATCAGGAGAGTAATACACACAAATCAAGCCAAAACAGCTCTAAACAAATATGTTGTTTTATTTTAATGCGGGAGGACAACAGGAGATGGACTTTTTCACTGGAATAAGTGATATTATGGACTCATATTTTAGCCGGAAGCAACGGTTTAAAGTGAAAAGTGTCTTGATGGATTTGTTTCTTATAAACACACAGTTTTTCTCTTCACAAGACATTAACTGATGGACTGGAGTGGTGTGGATTATTGTGATGTTTTTATCAGCTGTTTGGATTCTCATTCTGACGGTATCCATTCACTGCAGAGCATCCATTGCTGAGACACTGATGCTAACTACATCTCAGATGGCCTGATGGTGAGTAATAATTCAGCAAATTTTCACTAATATTATTAAATAATAAACAGTATTAGTAATAGATATTAATAAAAAATTATATAGATTAGATCAGTGAGTCAGTGTGGAACAATAAGCAACATCACACACCTGCACCCTCACGTTGATGTTGTGCGACAGTCCTTCGTTTTCCAACAACCAACGCACAGCATGCTGGGAGCACAGGACCAGAATCACTAACCGGTTGACGGGACGAGAGATGGACAAAGGTCTCAACACCACCGTGACCTGCGGACAAGACACCCGAGTGTGATGGGTGCACACAGTGTTCGAACTATACCGTGGACTTTGGTGAAGCACACTTGTTTTTTTTCTAACGGGGGGTTGGGGTTCGAGGGCTTACAATGTCTTACAAAGATACATTACAGCTACAATTGTATGCACTACTTGCTTTATGCAAGCACTATATAGGATAAATCACTATACAGGATGTACCCTATTATACTTTATCGACACAAATTGATAGGTGAAACAACAAACAGCCACCCACAAATAGTCTAGAAACAAAGCATCAGGCTGTGTTTGAGTTCACATGAACAACGGTTAAAGTTACTCGTCGTCAGGCTACAGAAGAACACCATAATTCCTCCGTTCAGTTAGGCCTAAGACATCGAGAGTCACGCAGACCTATAACAACCCAGCCACAACACATAATTGTGAATAGCATGCCTTAAAGAGTTAGTTCACCCAAAAATGAAAATTAGCCCATAAATTACTCACCCCCGATGCATCCTAGGTGTATATGACTTTCTTCTTTCAGACGAATCCAGTCGGAGTTATATTAAAAACTGTCTTTGATCTTTCAAGCTGTTTCATGACACTCAGCGGGTGTTGCATTCCTTCGGTTCAAAAGACGTGAAATAAAAAGCACCCTTCTACAAAAAAAAGTGTCTCGGCTCCGGGGGGTGAATAAAGGCCTCTTGTAGCGAATCGATGCATTTTCTATTATATTTTTCTTACAAAAAGGCATCGATTCACAACAGGAGGCCTTTTTTTCAAACCGTAAAAACCGTATTTTTTTCTACGAATCTTTGAGTTAACATGTACTAAACATGAGTGGAATTTGCACCGCAGCGTCCGCACACCTTGATGCTCATGACAAGAATAGCATGTATAGTTATCTTTATTGAAGTGAATTAGGTTTAAATCACTGTCATGCATGAATGAATGATATTTTTGCAATTTTACACATAATAATCCACGGTGATCACATTACACAAAACTGAAATTGCACGTCAAAATAACACATTGTCAATATTTTTTGAGACCCCCCAAAATTTCACAAATCACGTTTTCAGGGGAGCCCATGTCTTATTAAGGGGAGCCGAGGTCCCCCGTAGTTCGCACCCTGGGTGCACACCAGCTGGACGAATACGAGCAGACAGACGTCTCATACCTGTTTATTGGAGGCTTTGCCCACAGAAATCACATGGGTCTCTTTAGCTCCGCCCTCTCTGGCCACACAGCCTGTTCCCGACTCAAAGCGCTCCAGTTGAGCCTGCACTGGATGCAGCGCCCCCACAGGCCACACGGAGCACTGCAGCTCCCTGCTGGACACTGACACACACAGAGATGACTTAAAAACTTCAAGATCACTGACCGTAAAGTTTCAGAAAATGTGTTAGTGCTGTATTTTCTTTCATCGAAACAAGAGGATTTGCTATAATTGATAATATCATTGTTATTTCAGCATTATTTAAAATACTATTATAGTTTTTATTAATATTTTGATTTTGAATTTTTTATATAATTTTAGTTTTAATTTCAGTTTAATTTCTAGTCAGTTTGTTATGTACATTTCATTTTATTAGTTTTTGAATTAGCTTTTATTTTTATATTTCATATTATTTTCTTATGAAATTTTAATATCTTAAATTTTAGTTTAATTTGTAGTCATTTTAAGTGTTGTTTTTTTCATTTGTGTTCATTTTTTAATTAGCTTTTTCTTGTTCAGTTTTTACTCACTCACACGTATTTAAGGTTCAGTTTACGTCCAACTCAGAGACGCAAATGAAACTCACACACCCGTTATACACGGTGCAGGACACTGTTAATGCATTCGCACAAAATCACCACACATCTACGCAAGCGTTCACATGCAGCCTTGAGAAATGCATCTGGCTGCTCTCTCTTTCACCTGCATCACTGAAACCACTGAGACCACAGCTTGATCATCTTTTGTATCCTGCATGACACTGGGGGCATTTTCAAGTGGGTTTTACCTGCAGTTCCAACCACAGCCAGCAGGAGGGAGAATACAGCACTACCCGTCCAGGGCATCATCCTTCAGCACTTCACAGATTTCAGGATCAGATTTCTGGCTTACACTGACATACACTAACAGATAAAAGGAGGATTGTGACAGTGAGTGAGACAGAAGTGCAGAAACACGACAGAAGGAAATTCTGAAAAAAGCCCACACCCCAATATTCAGATGTTTTTATTTTATTTTATAAATGACTTAAACTTTTTATTTTAAACCATGCACTGATAGCACACTTACATCATGGAGACGTCTATTTGACGTCTGCATTTTACATCTGCAAGACCTATTTTTTAGTGTATAGGACGTTTTCTATCAGATGTCAAATATACGTTTTTAGAAGATGTCTTTAAGATGTTTATGATTTAGAATGAATGTAAAACTTGACGTCTATCAGATGTTTGTACACAGCAGATGCTTTCCAGATGAAGAGATCTTTAACAGACGTCTTGCAGACATACCTGTGATATCTGGGTGAGCTCATAATAAAATACAACTTTTTTTCAGTTTAGCTGCACACATTGTGCCTATATTTTGTGCCCACATGTTCTGCAGACTAATTATACCCATTACAGAACGTGTGTAATGATGTATTTATATAATTTACTAATATAATAAAAT